AAAAAAAAAAAAAAATAAATAAATAAATAAATAAAAATGAAAAAAAAAAGTTTATGATTTTGTTTACAGAAGGTTGAGATGATGGCTAGCGAAGAGTGTAAGGAAAAAATATGAAGAAAAGGTAATGGGTGTGTTTTGGGGAAGAAGGAAGAGAAGGGATTGTGTTGGGAAAAGAGGGGTCCATTTTTCAGGCCCAAAACGACACAGATATATACGAATTTATAAATTCAATTTTAATTAATTTGGAAAAAAGTTATGGCAGACAATCATGGAGCTCTGTTTGGAGGTGGTGTGATTTTTATTTTTTTTTTTAATTATTTGCAAGTAAATTAAATAAATTACAGTGCATTTGTTTTTTCTTATCAATAGCTCGACTTTGATTCGGAGTCGAGCTCGAGCTTTTGTATTGCTCGAGTCTCATAAATCGAACTCGAACAACTTAAAGAAAAATTCAATTCTTGCTCGATAAGGTCAATGGACGACTCTGTTCGGCTCGTTTGCATTCCTAGTCATCCGTAATGCAATATTTATCATTTTATTTAATGCATTTATTGTTGAAATTTATCTATCCACAATTCACACATAGGTCCTGTCCTGCATTTGCTTCTTTGCTGCCAATCGCTCTGTAATTTCTGTTTTTATTTATTTATTTATTTATTTATTTAATAAATTTGATGATAGTCGTATCAATTATTCTCTCTCATTTTCTCTCTCTTTCACATGATTGTTGGTTGGGGATGTAACCTTTTTTTTTTTTCAGTTTTTTGGTTTTATTATTAATCATTCAATTCAATATATATCGTAACGTAGAGCCGCCGGCCCGTATATGTATGTGCAAATGTGCCAACTTACAAATTATGGCAAAATGTTGGGTTAAATTTGTATGAAATTTATTGACATGCGATAAATCATTAAATTCGCGTAAATTTTTCCGGTGTTGATTTTGATATAATTTATCAATATTTTTGTCTAATTCAAACACATAAAAGTACTATATGTTAAAAAAAATATATGTGGTTTTATTTTGCATAAATAAAGCTTTTGATAAATAAATTTTAATGTTTAAATATTTATATACTAGTACAACGCCCGTGTATTACACGGGTGCTTGCCAATTTTTTTCTTAAAATCTAAAATTAATGAGAAAAAATAGTTGAAAATTTAAATACCTTTTATAAAAATATAGTATGACACTTTTTATTTGTGCAACTTACCTGTGTTATATTATAATAATTTTTTTAACTTACAACATATAACTACATTAACATAAATATATCAATTGAGAAATAATTTTATTTTTCTAATGAATTTTAATAAATATTATTATTTATTATTATTATAAATATAAATATAATTTATTTATTTCATATATACAATATGGATGTCAAATTGAAGATCATCAAAAGATGATTGATGATTAATTTGATATATTATATATGTAAAACCGATAAGAAATACAAAAGTTATCAACTTTTAAAAAACATTTATAATTCAATAGCTAATTAAAGGAAACAAATCAAAAGTCAGGGATATATTAGTCAATTAGTGCCTCACTATGTAAAATTACAAAGAGATAAAGGGTTATATTAGTACAAGTGATAATAAAATACCTAAGTTAGCTAAATAATATTTATAGAATGTCCAAACCTAAATTATTAATTAATTATTAATATATCCATATTATTTGTCCAAACATAATTACGAAGCATGATTCTTTGCCAAGTAGGAATCCGAACCACCAGAAGTCGTCACGTAAACTCAGCGCATTCGAGAATAATATATAGGAAGGATACCGCGTTCAATCTATTGTAAATAAAAAGTATTTTATTGTTTTATATTACTTTATTGATTTATTGATTACCTATTATTTTTATCTAACTATTTATAAAATTTATGCTAATTTGAAGTTGCACCTCGTCAAATTGATCAGGTGATATGTCACTAATTGTGTGATGGGAAAACCCGTTAATATGTCGCTAATTGTGTGATAGATGCAAATTATGGTTGCCAGGGGTGGACATCTATTTGTAGGACTTTTTGCTTTAATATTGAGTGATAAGTTTAATTCGTCATTATTTTACATGATTACTTATTTATATTTAAGATATATAATAGTAATAATAACCATGTACAACATCGGTGTTGAGTTAATGAATATCTGTGTAAAGTTATTTACGTCTAATACCAAACCTAACTCCAGAGAAAAAATAATATAAAAACAACATCACGAAGCATAAATTTTCGCCATGTCAGCATCCGAAGCGTGAGAATCTGCCACTTAAGTTCAACACGTTTTGAATTAATATATAGGGAGGGATTGCCTCTAATCTAAGTTGGCGAAGGGTCGACTCGGCCCGTCAGCACCGAACTAGCCCTGATTTT